CTTCTATCCCTGTTAACACAGCAAAGTTGCAGGCTTAAGTGGAAGAGCCCAACTGTCAGGACAGGGTCAAACAGGCTCGCCACACTATGCCCAGAGAGAAGTGTGAAAATAGCGAAGTGTCTGCTGAAGTCAGATGACCCAGGAGAAAGAGCTGGCTTCGTTTTAAAAAAAACAACAATAAAGCTGTTTAAAACAGTAGAGTTTCCCGAGCGTTTGAATAAATGAAATGAAACATACATTTGAAGAGGTGATTAGCCTCCTAAGATGCTGTTTGCTAGAGGCCAAGGAAGAGTTGCTTCAAATTTTATATTCATGCATTTAAAAAAAAAAACTTTAAATGCAACTGATAATGGGGGACATCAGTGCTTAAGAAAATGCATGGCGCCGGGTAGTGGTGGCACACGCCTTTAATTCCAGCACTTGGAGGCAGAGGCAGGTGGATCTCTGTGAGTTCGAGGCCAGCCTGGTCTACAAAGCTAGTTCCAGGACAGGCTCTGAAGCTACAAAGAAACCTTGTCTCGAAAAACTCAAAAAAAAGAAAGAGAGAGAGAGAGAGAGAGAGAGAGAGAGAGAGAGAGAGAGAGGAAGGGAGGAAGAAAGGAAAGAAAGAAAAAAGAAAGAAAAAGAAAAAAGAAAAGCATGGCTTTGAATTGCGTGGGCTTGTGATCAAACTCTGAAATATGAACCTTAATACCCCTTTCCTGCTGTAAGGTCCTACAATTCTGCAGGGGGCTGTCACCCCTGGCATTTAGCCATTATGAAAATGTAGTGGCAGATAAAATGTCCAGGGAACTCTAGGCTTAGATCACCTACTTTAAAGTTGGGCAGCCTTTGAGGTGGAGGAAGGCTTTCTATTGTGAAGAGCTATGGCGCTCAGCACCTGGACTGACAGAGCTCGAAGGTGGGGAAGAGAATGACAGGAGGAAGCTGCTTGAGGACTGGGGAGGGGGTCTATTGAGAAAGACGAATCCTCCATGGGGTGAACAGGTTTGCTCACAGGTAAGAACTTATTATGAATCAAGGGCACTGGTACTTCACATCCGCTATGATCTGGGTCTAAAATATCCCCAGCATTCATGGCCCAATAAAACACAACCTAGGAGTGGGAGCTTCTTGGTGGCAACTAGATCCCACAGGCTCTAAACTCATCAATCCAGATGGATGAATTCAAAGCTTGGTGGGACAGTAGATGATGGTGAACACTTTCGGGAACAGCGCATAGTTAGAGCAAGTGGGGTCACTAGGGTGAGTCCTCTCTCTCCCTCTGTCTCTCTCCCCTTCTTCTCTCCTTCCCCCTTTCTGCTTCCCAGACACCTTGATGTGGGTTGCTTTGCTCCATGAGATTCTGCCTCCATACAATCCTAAATGCCGTGGAGCCACCAGAGCACAGACTGAAAATCAACAGCCAAAATACACGTTTCCCCCTTTAAAGCTAATGTGTCTCGGGTATGTCGTCACAGTGTCTACACGCTAACCCTCAGGGGGAATATTTTGTGAGCTGTCCCTGTCAAGGCCTCTTTTAATCAGCATTGCTGTCGGGACACAAAACGTATCAATTGATTAGTTTGGAAATGGGTATCAGGTTTTTTGTTTGTTTAATTTTTGTTTTCTCGAGACATGGTTTCTCTGTGTAGCCTTGGTTGTCCCGGAACTTGCTCTGCAGGTCAGGCTGGCTTCGAACTCCATCCTCCTGCCTCTGCCTCTCAAGTTGGAGATGGATATCAGGAGAGTGAGCATGCTTTCGCTGCAGTCCTTAAACTCTCAGTGATGCTGTTTGTTTTTCCTTCATGTTGACATATGGTAAAAATATTCACTGTGTAGAATTTCCCCATTCTCTGACTTCTTATTCACGGCCTTTTGGGTTAAACAAATCAGTTGTTGAAGCCTGTAATGACAAAGTATTCCCCATCTTAGAAAAAAAAAATCAATGGACAGATTTTCTCTTTTTACTAGTAAGAATAATTAACCACAGATCCCGTGATGAGAATTCATTCCTGAAGAATCTGTCCATTGGAGAAAAAATTATTTTTCATCCTCAATATCAATTCGCATCACCTTTGCCTCAGTAAATTTGGTCAATAAAAGCTTCTCAGCGGTTCTTTCCAGAATCGGCTCCCCCATGTCAGACAGAACAGGCTTGTCCAGCTCCTCTTTATTAACAATCCCTGACATTTTCCTCCTGCCTTTTTAGGTCAGCATTATGTGTGAGATTTTTATTATTCCTGACATTTTTGTTACTTTTGACCAACAACTAACTATCCAGTCCCAAGGCTACCCGTGAAAAGCCCGGCTCTGAAGTATCTCATTAAGTTTTCAACAGTACATGTAACATTCTGGAAAAAATTTGTGAATAGCAAATGTTATTTTCGCCCAGATCTTAGCTAGACCTCCCATTGCCGTTTGCCGAACATCAAGAGAGCCATTTCCTCGCCCTGTATAGGAAGCTCTTTTCTTTCAATAAACCTTCCAGGCAGTGTAGCTTTGCCCACTTCTCCCTTTTCAGGGTTTCTTAACTGCTCTTGACTCACTGAAAGCTTTCTCGGCTGCCTTTGGCTGCCTGGCCCTCAGCCGTGGAGTGGAAGCTCTTTTGCTGCCTCCTCTCCCACTTCAATCAGAACAATGGCGCGCTTGCCGGGGTCTTCCGCTCCCTTGGCTGGGTGGCAGCTAATTTCTTGCTTTTATCCAGCGTAGCACTGTAGGAACTCTGGGCTTTTTTTCAGCACCCTGGCTCTTGACCGTTTTCAGGGGTCCTCAGATGAGCACCTCACTTCAGATGCCAACAAAAATGATGCCCAATCCCCAACTCGGTGGAACGCGTATCAATCAGCGGGAATGTTCATGATCAGGACGTGTCGTTCATCAAAAATACTTCATCTGTTGCAGATAAACTCACGAGAGCCTAAATGGCCGTGGAGATGTGCCCCCATCAGGTACGGAAAAGCTCCTCTTAGGAGACTTCAAAAAATAACTTAAAGGTGGATTCATTTCTTATACTCTATTTCCTGCTGAGGCTTTATCTCAAATACAATGTCTGATCAATTAACAGAGCGTCTTCTATAGGGGCGCAATTGAAAGATCAGAGAAAGACAAACTCTGATTCCCTTTTTATTTTGTCCTGCTCATTTTAAGCCGTATGAATGATATTTCTTCCTGATAGTGAATAGTCAGCATATAATCTTTTAAATTTTTTTAAAGATTTATTTATTTATTATGTATCCAACATTCCTTCCACGTATGTTTGCAGGCCAGAAGAGGACACCAGATCTCATTATAGATGGCTGTGAGCCACCATGTGGTTGCTGGGAATTGAACTCAGGACCTCTGGAAGAGCAGTCAGTGCTCTTAACCTCTGAACCATCTCTCCAGCCCCGCTTTTAAATTTTTATAGAGATTCTAAATACTAAGATGGACAAAGTAATGCTCAACATACAAATTTATAACACGTGTTTTGTCTCCCCTTCCTCCCTAAGCATCATTAAAACGGACACCTTTTAAAAAGTAGAGCCAAAGATGGCATTATGATGCCAGGTTAGAAAAGCTGAAATCAGGCAAGCAAGAGACAAGCTTCTGACCTGAAAACGGGGTTGGAGTGATAGTTATAAAGACTCAGCAGAGTCGGGGGATGGTTCGGCCACCAGCCAACCCTGAAGAATCCTTATCCAGGAGTGCCCTAACCCCCCTCCCACGACCACTTCCCACCACCAGTCCTGCGGGAGAGTTAAGGTACAAGTTGGGCAAACTGAACAAAGGAAGCTGGGATGAGGAACAAGAAGAACGAGGCTTGGGTTCCAGCAGAAAGACAGCAAAGGTCTGCAGAGCTGTGGGGACACTTCCCCTCGCCCTCTTCTTGCGACTGGAATCTCCAACAGGAGGCAGAGGATTTTCAAACAAAAGCTGAAGAGCCTCAGGGAAAAAAAAAAAAAAAAGTCTCAGGATCTGACATTTAACATTTTCCCAGTAGGAAAAGTTCTGAAAGTTAGACCATCATCTCGTGGTGACACCACCACACAGCAAGTCTGTCGCCGGAGCCCAGATTTTCTTCTCAGTTCTTAGTGCTTCCGGCACTAATTGAAACCACAGTGCAGAAGACAGCTGAGGAAAATAGCCAGCGTGTTAGTGTCGAGGCAACAGTGGATAAAAAGCTGAGCTGATACTGATCCTGCGAGCAGACGGCAGGAGGCACCTTAGGAATTAAAAAGGACCACTTCTGAGGAAGACGATGCGGTGGTAAAACCCGCCAGGCGCAGTGAGGGAGACTCCTCGGAGGACAAGGCTTCGGGAAGTAACAGCATAAGCGCCTGCAATTAATAAAATTTGTAAATGATGTTCTGTATATAATCAGATTCTTCTGGATACTTGAATTAAAAAAATATCAGTATGGAGACGAGCTGAGGCATGATTTAAAAATAAAATTAGATCAAACTCCCAGCTCTTACATGTGGTTAATACATTTCTCAGAAATAGAAGACAGAGAAAATGAAGGGGGAAAAAAAACCCAAATTATCAAAGAGTCGGTGAAATTCTTCCAGAATTTAAAACCATGAGTCTCCAATTTCTTATTTCTCTTCTTGCAGTTTTAGGGGAACATCACAGTCAACAGACACAAAGTTCAACTCCGAGAGCCTCAGTCAATAGCACAGAAACTAGAAACTACCCCACCCCCTCCAAGGCTCCCAGCATCCCTTGCCTGCATCCCCGCAGAGGCCATTTATCCCCTCTTCTGGGTGTGCTGAACCAGCTTCACAGAAACTACCTCTAAAAGATGGAGTTGAACATACTTCACAGCCCACACTCAAAACCTCCGAGTGGCTTTCAGGGCATCTGAAGGAGACTCTTCAACACGCCTTAAAGGTCTGAGTGATCTGGTCTCTTGGACATCCAGCTTCTTACTGCATTGTGGTCCTCTCGGGGCTCTACTCAGATGCATTATCTTCCTCTCTGTTGCCCTGACTGCACATCACCTAGGAAACCACTGGTTTCCAATACAGAATTCTGGACTGCTTAGACTCACTCAAATCTGGGCACGAACCCAACATGCTTGAGCACGCTGCCCCTCTCTGAAACCCAATTTCCTTATCTGTAGATTGCTGACATTTACACGTGACAGTGAGGTGAGTTTTTTATAATGTATCATGGTGCTTGACACAAAATAAGGAGCCAGGAAATTTTAGCTATCCAGAACTATGTAAAGTACCACCCACATATATCCCTCTTTCAATAGTAGTTGATCATGCATGTCATTTGTTAATTGATCTGAACCTTTACAAGCTCTAGTTACATCTTTAGTTTGTATTATTCTCCAGGAGAGTATTTTTTTTTATAACTTTATTACCTTTAGGACAAACAAAATAGGTTGAGTGATGCCAGAGATGTGTTCGAGCTGGTTCAACCCAGTTTGCAAGAATGTCAGGATTTCAGAAGGTCAATTGTTTAGGATTTCAGTGGGTCAATTATTAAACACGCCTTCTCTTAAAAAAAAAAATAAAGAGGCACAACACCTGGGGAAATGGTTCAGAGTCTGCAAGACACTTAACTTGTAAGCATGGAGACCCGCAGATGGAAGTTTCTGTCTGGCCCAATCTCACAGCCAGTCTTTTCTCAGTGAGGCATTCTCATCTTGCTTCCTCTGCATCTGGCTGGTAACTGACTCTCTGCCTTTCCTCTACCCAGAATTCTCTTAATCTGGTTGCTCTGCCTATACTTCTTGCCTGGCTACTGGCCAATCAGTGTTTTATTAAACGAATATGAGGGACAAATCTTTACAGTATACAAGAGCTTCATACCATAGCAGAGACCTGAGTTCAGATCTCCAGTACTGATATAACAATCCAGGCATGGATGCATGGGTCTGTGATATTAGCACTGGGAAGACAGACAGGTGGATTCACTAGAGCTCTCTGGCCAACCAGCCCAGCCAAACCAGTGAGCTCCAAGATCAGTGAGAGACCCTGCCCCAAAAATTGAAGAGAAGAACAACCAGAGAAGATGCCTGACATGGACCTCTGGCCTTCACACACATGTATAAACATATGTACATATACAACACATATACATACGCACGCACACACATAGAGCGAGATAGAGGTGAGACAACTGAATGGTATAAACTTCCTATTGGTGGAATTAAATGGAATTATTGTGTTGTGGCTTAAGTGTGAACTGTCCCGCATAGCTTCATGTATTTAAATACTAGGTGGTAATGCTTTGGAGGGTTCTGGATACTTTAAGAGGGAGAACTTGGTAGAGGAAGTGGATCATTGAAGGCGGGTCTTGAGAGCTTAGAGCCAGTCCCATTTCTTGTCTGCTCTCAGCTTCCTGACTTCAGACACAAAGTGACCAGCTTCCTCATACTTCTGTGCCCATGCTTCCACTGCCATGATGACCAGCCCTGCCCTTAAGCTATGAGCCAAAATCAGTCCCTTGAATTGCTTCTTGTCAGGCATTTGGTCACCACCCCAAAAAAGTCATTAAGTAGCTTGATCGTAAGTGTTCAAAATGCCTCAGTTCCCAGTTCTTTTCCGTTACCCCTGTTCTTATAAACAGTAGTCCCAATCGTTTGTGACTATTATGTCTGGTTTTGAAATGTTCTGCAGTATTTCTCTACTGTATGATTTCTTCTGACATCTACATCCAGTGATGTCATACTGTGTTTAAAACTGGCAGTGCTGGGAGTATTTATTCTATGAAAATCAGCGGTTGTTTATAAACCGATGCTTCCACGCCCTCCCAAGAGAACTGGCTTGTAAACACGTCACCAGCTTGCCAGGTAGCAAAGCCCATTCTGTGGGCATGCAACACAAATACAGACTTCCACATAGATGACAACAATCTCTCCGCAAAGTCAATAGCTCTTGAAAAGTCCCTTTATCAGAGCATCTTTCCCTCTGGTCTATGCATGGAGTCTCCAGCTGTTCCCTTAGAGGAAGGCACTGACTTTAAATTGATATACAATTCTTGTTAAGTTTGGCTCTCGGTTGTGTTGGTCTTTAGAAACAAATGAAGACGTTTTTCTGAGGAAACACAGCCAAGAGCTTGACAGTCAAAAGTCTAATGACAAAGCAGGACAAATAAAAACAAGGAAAACCTAGACAGGGACAAACAAATTCCAGCAGTTGAGGACGCTAACAGAGACAACCCCCTGAGAAGCGAAGCCGCATGTTGTGGAAGAAGGATACGAACGATCCCAGAAGTAACTCAGAACTACCAAAAGAAAAACCTGTCTTCCGTAAACTACAGAAGAAACCAGATGTAGATGTTGTAGGCATTGAAGGTGTCTAAAATGCTTATCAGCAAGCATTGTGGACCAAACCAGCTATCCACATGCAAGAGAATGGAGCTGGACACATAGAACATATTTAATAACTCTCAAGATGCATCAAAGACTTCCATGTAGGAACTAAAGGCATAAGACTTAAGAAAACACAGAGGGCTGGCTCACGATGCTGGAGTTGCCTTTTGTTCTTGATGGAAAGAGCACCGGCAACAGCCACAAAGGAATGAACTGAACATCAAAATTAGAAACTTTTGCATATCTAGGAGCATCATTAAAGAAGTGCAAAAGGCAACCAATGGTACAGGGGAAATATTTGCAAGCCATGTATAATGACAGTGTAAACACTGGAGCAATGGCTCAGCGCCTCAGTGCACGTACTGATCCTGAGGAAGACCTGAGTTTGATTACTGACATCCACATTAGATGACTCACAACCATCTGTAACTCTAGTTCCTGGGGGTCCAATGCCCTCTGGCCTCCTCAGACTCCTGCATTCATGTGGTACACATAAATACACAGGCACAAGTACATACAGATAAAAAACAAACAAAATTTCAATAAGAGTATATACATCTGCAGGCTATATGTCTGATTAAAGATAATACCGTTTCACACTCTGTAGGATAGTTACCGCAAAACAACACAGGGAAGAGCGAACACTGCTGAGAATGTCGAGAAACTGGATCCCATGTACATTGCTGCTGGTGATGTAAAATGCCTAGGGTGCTAGGAGACAGTATGGCAGTTCTTCAAAACCATGAAACACAGATTATTGCATGAAGCAGCAGGTCACTTCCACATCCTAGGAATGAGAGTGGGATTTGAACAGATATAGGTGGCCCATATTCTCAGTACTTTACTCATGACGGACAAAATGTGCAGGCCCCCCGAACACCACGGTTGATCAGATGAACAAACGTAGGTCATTCTGATGGCTGCCACAAACACTGATGACCCTGAAAATGCCATGCTAAGTGAAAGAAACCACCAAAGGGTAGGCATGTAACAATATTATAGGCGGTGGCAAAATAGTCCAGTTCCTGGGCAAAAGGTAAAGTGGTGGTTACCAACAGCTGAGAGAGGGCAGGCAGGAAGTGACTGATTGCTTAGGAGGTACTGTCTGAGCTTCTGGACCGTTCTAGAGCTGACAGTGGTGAGAAATGCTTAGCACTGTGAATATTCCTTTGTTTAATTGAAAATAAATATTTTTATATAATATAGTCTGACCTCAGTTTCCCTTCCCTTCTCCCAGATCCTCCCTACTACTCCATCCCTTTAACTCCTCGACTTCAAAAAAAGAGAAACTGAAATAAAACAAAAAAAAAGAAGAAAAAGAAAAAGGAGAAGAAATGCACACACATAATCTGAAACCATAATATTCAAAAGAGCAACAAGGCTTAAACCTGTGCTCATCTTGAGCCTGCTGCCAGTCTCTGAGAATTCACATGTGCATCAGTCCTGTTGCGTATGGAAGACACCCTGTCCTTGGTGTGACCCATCCCCTCTGGTTGTAGAACATGATTTTACCTATGTAAAGATGTGCTACCCTTGTGCATGCTGTGGCATAGTGCTTTAACTGTGTAGCGGTATATTAACGTTGGTTTATGTTGCATTTGTTCAACGACTTAAGGATGCGTGCTTAATTATGCAAAGCTGTGTTGCATCTGTTCCGCCTTGCCTGCTTAAGGCACCTGATTGGTCTAATAAAGAGCTGAATGGCCAATAGCTAGGATGACAGGTGGGGCTGCCAGGCAGAGAGAGCAAACAGGAGAAGAAAAGTAGACTTAGAAGAGGAATGGGAGAAGAGAACAGGGGGAGAGAGAGAAGTCAGGCAGTCTCCAACTAGACAGATACCAGAAGGAGAAAAGAAGTAAAATATACAGAAAAAAGGAAAGAAAGGTAAACAGCCCCGAGGCAAATGTAGATAAAGACACACAAGTTAATTTAAGCTAAAAGAGCTACCCAGAACAAGCCTAAGCGAGGTTGAGCATCGTAACTAAAAAGTCTCTGTGTCACGATGTGGGAGCTGGTCGGTGACCCTAAAGAAAAAGCCTGCTACAACCTCTGGCTCTTCCAATCTTTCTGCCTCCACTTCCATGTAGATCCCTGAGGCTTGAGGGGAGGGTTTGATGAAAACACCCCATTTAGGACTGTGTGTTCTGAGATCCCTCACTCTGCTCATTGTCCAGTGTGGGCCTTTGTATGTGTTCCCATCTGCTGCCGGAGGAAGTTTTTCTGATGGTGGCTGAGGGAGCCACTGACCGATGAGTATAGCGGAATGTTGTTAGGAGTTGCAAAGTGAGTATTCTTCATATTCTACAGCTTTTAAAATAGCCAAAATAGCAACTTTCATATTAAGTGTGTTTGACCTTCATTTAAAAAGTTTTCTAAGCATAAACGTTTATACATGGCTGGTTTTGTTTAAACTGTGTAACTCAAAGTGAGCCAACATCACTTCCTGTGGTTCATTCCTTCTGGTAGGGATCGTGGGTGAGATATGGTACTTATTTGTTGGCATGTGTCTGTAGCCATCCTAATGGCAATAAAACAGTGATCAATATATACTCACTGTAAGAGCTTGTGGAGGAAGAAAAAGAGGAAGATTAGGCTGGGGAGGTGGGAGGCACTCATGGAGGTCAAAGGGGTGGATGGTAAAATAAGACAAGTTGCCCTCATAAGAGCAAAATATGTGAGAGGACTCAGACACAGACCAGTAGATTGGGTTCAAAGACTAGCGGCCTTGGAGTTGTGACAAGATACTATTTCAGAGTATTCACCAACCAATGCATCATGCCTCTCCGCTGCACCCTGACCCTCCCATCATTTCCTCTTCCTTTGGATACCGGCTCCACCCCAGTTTTACCCCTGTCTCGGGGCTTGGAAGAAGGCCACCACCATCCTCAGAGATGCTTCTGAGGGTTGTTTTCATGGCTGATGTGCTGAGAAGAAAAGATCTTTTGCTGACCTCAAAAGATCAAGGTGTCAGTCCATAGTGGAGTTTGCAGAGCACAATCACCCTCCACAAACCCCAACAATGTGGATCCTGGAAATGGCTGGCTCAGGCTTCATTGGGGTGTAATAGTCCTGGGAAAGGAAGTGTTGAGCGCAAAGCTGTGCAGGAGCCATAGGCTGGGCTGCTGCTGGCCGGGGGCTCTACTCAGCCACAAGCCTGGCCTGTGTGGGAGAATTTAGTTTTGCGGAGGATTTGGAGAGGCAGGGGAGGCAAAAGCCCTAGAATGATAGAAAATGACAGAAATTGTTCCTGCCGCTCTAGAAGCATGGTGACACTAATTACAATTAAGTTGTAGAAAAAAAATCAAGCACGTGAGTTTTGTTGTTCCACGCGTGAATTTGCGAGCTGATATCTGCACAGGCCTAGAGGAGCAAAGCTTGAAAAAGTGAGAAGGGTTGTAGGGCAGAAGGAAACTTTGAAACTCGGCAAGCGGGAGGAGAAAACGGAGATAAAGACTCCAAGGGTGGCAGGGAACAGAGAAAGAAGACGGCCTGATGAACAAGGACTGGCATGGCGGGAGGCTCGCCAACTGGCTGTGCCAACCCCGCATGTGACATCACTTTCATGGGCCCGATGTGTGATTACACTGTGACTCACCCTGGCTGGAGATCAATGCTGTCTTCTCCGCTTGGAAATTCAGGCTGATTTCCATTTTTGAGTTCCTTGATTCGGGTGATACAAGGCACACGTGGGCCTCCTCAGGTCCTACCCTACTGGTCTTAAGCGTCTTTTCCAGCTGGCCCATGGCGGCTGCTCTTTCTGCCTGTGTCTACCCCTTCATCCGCATCTCACCCCTTTCATATCCATCTGTGCCATGACCTCTCCTCTCCCTTTCAACCTGGCTTCAAGATTAGGATCAATAATGCTGCGGGGCTTTTATCCAAGTGATGGATAGCCTGGGAAACTCTCCTCTGGCTGATTGCTGTCTCTGTCTGATATTCCATACTGGCCTTTAGTTTGAGAGTAGAAAAACCAAACCAAAAGTCCTTTAAAAAAAAAAAAGGAAAAAAAAGATATATGATCTTCTCTTGTTTTTAAATAAGTAAGAAAATCTTTTGATCAGGCCTCAAATAAAAGGGAATCTGGTTCAGTTTTGTTTTAGGGAGTCATTGAAGAGCCCTTAATAGCTTGTCTTTGTTTCCTTTCATAAGTTGATAGCCAAAGTCGACAAGAACTTGGGTTTTGAAGGAGAGCTGTGAACAGAACTTGACATGGTCGAATACCCTGCCATTGGGTTTTTTGGGTTTTTGGTTTTTGCTTGTTTGCTTGGTTTTTTTTTTTCTTCCATATCTTTTTTTTTTTCCAGATCCAAGAAATAGTTAAGGTTTCATGAAATAGTTAAGAATTCATTTGGATATCCAAATAAGACCCTCCCCACCTCCCACTACTCACGCCGAACTTCTTAAACATTCCAGGGAAGCTGCTTCTGTGCATCCTCATAAACTGGCACTCAGATGTTTATCCCCAAGGGAGAAGAGATGCCACAGGGAAGTCATTGCGTCCTGTCTTCTGCAGGCGGCTTCGGTGTGGTCCTTTGTTTCTTTTTTTTTTTTTTTTCCAATTCAAACACTTTAAATTTTAAACTCTGTAAAAGAAAATCCAAAAAGTCTCTTTTAAAATCCAAAGTCTCTTTTAAAAATTCGAAGTCTTTCAACTGTCCTTTGTTTCTTGCTTCATGCCTGCCTCAGAAGCTACCCACTGCCTTCCAGGTTCACAGCACTCATCAGAGAGCTCTAAACACGCAGCACAACAGACAGAGCAGCCTAAAACAAAACAAAAACCAGAGAATCAAACCCTCGCCTCGGGATTGACCAATCGGATGGTAATTATAAAATGAGTGAATCTCGGTAGAAAGCACATAGTTTCTCAAGACACATTTTGATCTCTGCTACCCTCAGCCACCTCCCTCTGATACCCCGTTTCTTCTCCAGATCGGAGACGCAGCTCTCCAAAGCAACAGGTTCCAACACACGCAGCAAGGACTGAGTTCGAGGCCAGCCAGAGGGCTTGAATAAAAGGACCTAGTTGGGAACCCCTGCACTAGCTAAGTGTTTCCTAACAACGCTGAGCGAGGCAAAACTGAGCCTGGATAAGTTTCCAGGCTCGGCAGTTCAGAGGGTCACGGAGGAGAAGTTGAGCATCTAGGAAGAGCTCACAAGAGGCTCCGTCCCCAGGACACTAACCAAGCAACAGAATGAATGCTATCGGATTTTATTTGCAGGGCCCTTCACAGTTCGGGTTGTTGAGTGAAACCAATTGCTTACGGGTCTTGAGTATCTATTAATTAAATTGTGAGTCAATAAGATGATCCTATTTGGGAACCACTTGTGTTTAGACCCTGTTCTGGTAGCCAGCCATGTGTTGGACAGCAGATGGTACCATGAACTATGAGTTTCCTTGCCCAACAGCTTCACTCTGCAAGGGCTGCGCCCCCTGCAGGACTAACAGGTGATCTGTATTTATCAATAAAGTACTAACAGAGTAAAAATAAGGCAATTAGACTCCCATGACAGAGCTAAATATTATGTCACTATACGAAGCGATTGGCGTTGTTAGTCATTTCTGCAGATACGATTTGCTTCATAAACGCCACATTTCCCGGCATTGGAACTCAGCAGGGAATCTTTGTCAACAATCTGCCATTGCTGGCTAAATGAAGTAATCATCTGGCTACTATATTTAGAATGTGTGTGCAGGCAACAGAAGGTATAGTGAATTCTAAACCCCATGTTTATCTTCAGGGGACACCACACGGAGGAGTAGAGAGGCCTCTGCTTTGAAGAGGAAAAGGGCTTTCTACTAGAAGTCTCTAGGAAGAGGTTACCTCTGCCTCCGGGAAGACCGAAGTGACAGCAGCTTGCTTACAAAAACAGTGCAGAGTGTCTTTCCAATGTTCCTAAAGACGCCGTTTCATTTTAAATTCTTTCTCTCTGTTTTAAGCCAGAGTTGGGAAAGTATCTTTGCTCTAATTCTCTCAGAACCACAGGGCACCCTCTGCTCCCAAGTCAAGGGTTAGTGTGGGGTTTGCATTATTTACTATGTACTTATTACATCCTAGAGATAGCAGGCATTTACAAGTATTATTTTATTAAATTAGATAGGAGTGTATTGCTTGCATGCATGTGTACACAATGCATCCTGTGTATTGCTTCCTGAACTTAGGATACACTTGGCAAGATGTGCGCTTGTGTCTGTTCTCTGAGGATGGAAACCAAGGCTCAGAGACAATAAAAACTTGCTGGCCATCTCCCAGCAAGTTAAAAAGCAGAGCTTGATACGGCAGCTTCCAAGGACACTGTACCGCTCAGTGGCCCTCTCCTGTTTAGTGTTTCCTGTTCCATTTGCCCTTCTTACTTTAATCTGAGTCCTCTCCCCTCTACTTGCTTCTGTCTGTTGCTTCCCATGGAAGTGGGTTTAAAAACCCAGCAATCATTTCAGGAGATGTTCCCGGTCCTCTGAGATAAATAAATAAACCCACATCCATGAAAGCTAACAAAAAAAAAGCTGAACAGAAGGCTAGATGTTACTAGTCCTGCTGGCCTGTCCTGACTTGCCTAGGTCTGCCACGCCACTCCTGAGGACTGCTTGCTTATTTTCATGTCTAGGCTACAGTTCTCTGCTGGGGACAAAAGACTCGAGGACTTTGCCTGCTCTTCTGAGACCTGCCTGCAGGGAGGAGTGAAGAGAGTGCTGAGCCTGGAGACCAGAACATCAAGTCTTCACATCAGATCTCCAGGCTGTCGTTAGCACTGGGCACCTGCTCTGTGGACAGCGGGAGAACGGGCCTCACGACTCTCCCTCAGAGAAATGAGATGCTGGAAGCTCCACGGGGCGGTGGAAGTGAACTTGGCAGGCACGGACTGGCAGTTTCAAAGCAGCTGCTTAAAGAAAGTCCTAGTAAGGCACAAAAATATCTGCCCCAGAACCAGAGAGGATCGCTAAGGTTGCTGCTGGGTCTAGCGGACAGATATCAACTTCTGTCTGTACTGATGCTGAACTTAATTCCCTTGTGGTCAGGGAACACGTTCATCATAATTATAATCCCTTTCAATACTTTGATATTAACTTTATAGCCCAGGCACATGGTGTATTTTTGATGATTTTTTTTAAAAAGATCTACAGTTGAATACATACTTTGCTCTAGTTGGGTGGAATGGTCTGTAAACATCTGTATAAACAATCAGTCAGATTGCTCGCTGGTATGGCTGAGGATTTGTCTGATTAGTGTCAGAGAGCGCGGCTCCCACGGCCAGCTGTAACTGTGTCTCTTTCCCTTCTTTGTTGTCGCTTTGTGTCTTTAAAGCTCCGATATTGAGGGCACACATATTTAGGATTTCATATTCCTTGGCAAATTACTTCTCGAAGCATCACAGAAATTCCCCTTTATTTCTAGAAATAGGTTTTGTCCCCAATTTTATATCAAAACAAAAGCCCCGGTGTTCACATGAATAGTTTTAAAATATTTTCTATTCTCTGACAATTTCATACACGTAAACAGTATAACTTGATAATAGCCCACCGCATTCCGTTTTACTTTTATCTCCTCCCCTCCCCCTTCCCTCTTCATCCTCTTCCTCTTCCTCTTCCTCCTCCTCCTTCCACATGGACTCCAGTTTAGTGCTGCCTGAGTGTGTATGGCTAGAAGACCATCCACTGGCACATGGGCAATCTACTGGCAACCACATCCTTAAAGAAAAAGGACATCAACAGCCAATAGCTCCCCCGCAGGGGTGGGGCCTTGTGAGTCCTTCTCCCATCCATGCAGATGTTTGCAGGTCTTGTGCAAGTAACCACAACCCCCGCAAATTCACAAGTTCAACAGCTACGTCACATCTGGGAGACAGCATTCCTCAGTCTTCCCCAGACTCTAGCTCTTACATCAGCCTGCCTCCTCCTCTCCAGAGTCCCTGAGCCCTTGGCAAGGTGGGGTTAACAGAGATGGACCTTTAGTGAGCTCTCGGCATCCTTTCTTCTCAGCTCTTACACAAGTTACGAGTCTCTGCGTTAATCACTGTTCACTGCAAACTCAGCTTGCTCTGACCAAAGTTGAGAGCAGCATTAATCACTCTATAAACGTTTGGAAATGTTTGGAAGGCAGTTTGACAACATTTCCAACCAAACAGTAGTAGGTCACCCGACAGGGCCTCTGACCTCCCTCGCCATGGGCTTTTGATCAGGATTAAAGAATCAGGCTTGAGTTCCTTCCAGTGACGTTGACCTCAAATCTAATCAGAAAGCAGCTGATTCCCCCTTACCAATGACGCCGTTATTTCCTCAGAAGGCTTATCCTGCCTGGCAGAATTCTGAGTTCTAGCGTGCAGGAACCACTGCTTGTAGGACAGCTGCTGTCTTTCCTCCCCAGCAGTCTGGGTAGCACCTTCCAGCCAGAAGTCTCCAGGACGGTTTCAGCTTTTTTTTTTTTTTTTCTTTGGCCCTGCAACCAGAGTTTACCTAACTTCCTTAATTGGGTCCCTCCGGCTTATATGGGGGGGATGCCAAAGAGCAGTGACAACAGCCTGTGTTATTGGGGGGGGGGTGATCTGGAGTACCTTGATTAATAGCTTGCGGGAAGTAGCCCACAACTAAAACAAAGATTTTGACTTAATGACCTATGTCTTCTGGAAATAGCATTGTCTACCCATGCAGAATACCTCCATTCAGACAACACTCTGGTTTTCTTAAAATTAGCTTACAAAATAGCGAATTCCCAAAAGGCTCTTTCGGTCATCTTTAGTTGGGGTAACCTAGCCTACAATTAAGCCCGAATACTGCCATCCCTGATTAAACACTTAACCTTCGGGGCTGCCCCTCACTAGGTTCACTCTATCATCCTCTGCTCCATTAAGGCCTCCTCTTCCCGTCTCCCTTCTCAGGGGCTCCTCTGACCTCCTGACCTCTCCAGACACTCCAAGTTAAACATCCAAATCTAAAATCTTCAGCTAAAATCCACACAGGTGAGAGTGCCTGTGCCCGTGAGAGCTGATCTTCATCTCCAAGTTCACACCTTAGAAAGAGGGAACAGCCGAGCGGTGGTGGCGCACACCTTTAATCCCAGCACTCGGGAGGCAGAGGCAGGCGGATCTCTGTGAGTTCGAGGCCAGCCTGGTCTACAAGAGCTAGTTCCAGGACAGGTGCCAAAGCTACAGAGAAACCCTGTCTCAAAAACACCAAAATAAAATTTTAAAAAATTTTAAAAAATAGAAAGAGGGAATATCAGCCAGGGAGTTTCTTCCATCAGATTGTCCCATGGGTGTGTCTGTAGGAGCATTTCTTCATTGCTAATTGTTGGAGAAGGGCACAGGTCACCGTGGGCAAGCAGAGCCACCTGTGAGCAGGTGGTCTTGGGTGTACAGGAAAGCGGGCTGAGCACCAGCACAGGAGTAAGCAGTGTTCCTTGATGCTCTCTGCTCTGTTTCCCGTCTCTGGGTTCAAGCTAAGTTCCTGCCCTGGCTTCCCTCAAAGACAGATTGTAACCTGTCAGCCAGATAAGCTTGCCTCCCCTGTGTTGTTCTTGGTCACGGTGTTTATCACGGCAATGCAATGGCTTTTGTTGGGGGGGGCAGGACGGGGGGGTGTCTCACTATATTTTCCATTTCCATTCATTTTTCTGCAAATTAAATTTTTCTTTGCAGCCAAATAAAATCTAGTTGTATGTATGTACCCTATTTTCATTTTCCGTTCATCAGTCAGTAGACATCTAGGCTGATTTCCTGGCTACCGTGAATGGACAGCAAGGACCATGAGTATGGAAGCATCTTTGTATGGGGGAATCCGAGACCACCCTGAGCCACACCGAAAAACTGTCTGGAAAAAAAAAAATTAAAAGCTCTTTTAACATCACTCTTGCTAGTTCTGCCTGCAGAAGTTGCCTCTGTCTATACACTGATTTTTTTTTCCTTCTGATTATGGGTTACATTTTTCTTCTTTGTAGCAAGTCTGGTGGTTTTTCTCATACTTTGGATTCTAGGTATTAGGAATGTAATGTTGCTGAATATCTGGATGTTTGTTTGTTTTCTTTAAGTGGTATGGACTTTGCTTTGACAAATAAGCTACTTGCTCTTCCGCTTGATCCTCCCCAGACCTATCTCTTGGCTTTTCTAGGCCACGTGTGGTACTGGTTCATTGCAGGGGCTGCTCAGTTTTATTATTAAGGCATCTGCTATGGACTTGATCAAATACTTTGGGTGATCATTCAGCTTCTGGGCTGAATGGCTAATATTTTAGAAGTCCTCTGCTCTGTGAGCTTGGCAAGTCCCCGGCCATGCTGTGTTCTGGCTTCGGGAATCTTTATCCCATGCATGCTCAGCCCCATAGCAGGCAAAGACTCAAGGGCCCATCATGCGGATTGATGTGGCTTCATTTCTGTGAAGTGCATTCCCCTCCGGAAGGTGCACTTTTTAGCTTCCAGGATCCTCAGCCTCCCGGGCTCCTTCTCAGTACATCAGCTCTACTTGGGTTGAGTCCCTCCTTACACTGTGGTCTGAAAACTCTCTGTGCGAACAAACCGAGGCTGATGATGGAACCTACCATTTCACCTTTGTCTTTCAAACATTGGAGCTCCGAGCTCTTCTAACCAATGTGTATGAATTGTCTATAGAATTTGTCCAGTTTCCTGGTTGCTTGTGACGGAAAAGCAAATCTGGTTTCTATGACGTGTCCAAAAAGGGAATAAGTCCAAGGAACGCCTAAAATCTGAACCCAAACTGGGCTAGCAAAGCACCCGAGCCAAAGTGGCTCCAGTTTTTTGTTCTTGACCTTGGTGGTGACTGCCTCTTATCCCATTGATGGGAATGACTTCACACTCTGACGTGATTGGCGAATTAGCGCAAAGGGGAAGAGAAAGTTCAGGAAAGACGACTCCTTGCCAGGCTAACTTAACTACTTTTGCTTTGATCAGGTTATGTTGAGTTTTGTTTTTCGTTTTGGACCAGAAAAAATGATGGTGCAAATTCCTCCAAATATTCCTTCAAATATTTAGATTCCTCCAACTATTCAAGCCCCGATCAACTTGTAATTGATAAGTTTCTCTTTCAATACTCAAAGCCTCTAGTTGCTTGCCTAACAAGAAACGTGTAACTTTAGGTAGTTCCTCCCAAATGTTGAAAGACTGAATGTGCTTGCTTGGGTAACCCAGATGATCCCAGCTGTCATCTGATGGTTAGTCCATCACTAGGATGGAATTCAGAAGCTGTGCCATCTGTAATCCTGGTTACTACCCCCCCCCCGGGTCAGGTGTCTGAGGCTGCCATGATACTCCAGACTTGAAACCCCACTGAAACCTTATTTGCATTTCAGACTTCAAATTCCACCCGGTGGCTTCTCTTGGTCACTATTTTGAACATTGCATTAATGACAAAACCTCCACATTCTGTCCTGGGACTGTGGCCTGCAGACAGGTGGATGACTCCTGAGATCGTCTGGTTTTACTCATGCAATTCTATTTGCGTAGTCTTGAACATTGTGAAGAGTTTCTGAAGAAAAGTATAATTCAAAACCAGTAAAGAAGACTTCTTTGATGATTAGAAAGTATCTCAGACATGGGCAGAGGGCGTGATTTCCCAAAGCCACTGGAAACCGTGTACCTTAAAGCCGGTGCATCTTCTGAAGATCTCCTCCAGAGCTGGTATGAACACCAGCAGATGCAATCAGGCCAGAGTCTCCTGGGAACATTTGCCATCCCTAGCCAGCAGCCCTTGATAGCTTTATATATATTTTTTATTATTCTTAGAAAAAAATCTTTATTTCTATGATCTAACTGATAACTCTGCTTTGTAGACGGTTTGCCAGTGAGATCCATTCAAAACACCAGACATTAACACATGAATGAACTTCTCCATGTAAAATTACTCCAGCTGCAGTGTGACTCATAGATGGGCTGAAAAGGGGGGTGAGGAGAGAGGAAAGCAATTTAGTAAACTGACACGTGACGATCAATAAGATGCGTTAAATACCAGTGGCTCAAGGAGGGGTGTCAGCTATTGAAATGGCCCCCAAGGTTTTCTTAAACATATGTAAATAGGGGTGTGGGTTGTCTCTGTGCAGCAGACAGTTGAATGCCTGTGATGTGGGCCTGGGAAAGGGAACAAACACTTGAAATTCCCTCCCTTCACCAACAGCCCAATATGCCCGGCTTTCCCTCATAG